GGCTGTCAAAATTATCGCGTTAACGCACGTTAATTAATTTTTTTCATTAATCGCTTTAAAAACAATAACGCATTTGACGCATGCCCATGCGTCCCATAATAACACTCAGAATGCCGCGGACACATGCGCATGTGTAAGATGGGGACAGAGTAGGTAGGCCCTCTGGGAATTCAAGTTTTGAAAGAATACACGCGTGACCGCGAAGCACTTGTAGTTTCCTGTATGAACTCTGCATGATGAGCTGTGGGCGCGACAGCGCTCTGGACAGCAGGTCCCACTTCCAGCGGCTGTGATCACGGCGAACGGCGCTGCGTAATGGGATCATATCCAAGACCACGCACAGAACTATTACAGAACTATTCTCTCGTGTGCGTACGTGTCTTTGCGTAACCGATGCACACAATATGTACAGCGCTGAAGCTGGACTGCGGAGCCTCAGTCTCCGTGTCTTCTCCCGAAGCGCACTCGCTAAATTAAAGCTGAGGTTCCTAATTTTCCTCTCGACTACCAGTTCATGTTAGTTGTGCCAAAAAAAGTAATGTTGTGAGCAAATCAAAAAAAGTAATGTTGTGAGCAAATCAAACAGATTTAATGACATTCTGCATTTCAGACTATTTTGAAATGTCCCTCATCTCTAACAAACAATGGTTTTGGTCTTAGTCTAAACAGAAAGACAGAATGTTAATAATGTTAATGCCATTTTATATGGATTTATTGTTATAACAAACAAATATAGTACATATGTTCACTAAGCTGTCATTTATCTTTCCATTCAAACAACCATTTACAGAAAAATATGGCATAATTTTGCCAATAGTTTAAAATGTGATTAATTACGATTAATAAATTTTTAAGCTGTAATTAACTCGATTAAAAAAATGTATCGTTTGACAGCCCTAGCAAAAAGATATTTGCGGAAAAATTGCCGAGACCGGAAGTGACGTACACGTAGGAGTCATTGGGCTTTGTTGATATGCATTTGTAAGCCATAACATTGTATACAGACGTTTTAAACAAATATTTGTTATTCAGTGATGGACAATACAAGTCAGGGGCTTTTATTTATGAGCCCTTGCGTACTTGTTATGACAGTCATTCTGATTTTGAGGACTCGGACTCGGTTCAGATGAGGAGCAATCTGCAAGAAATGGACATTTGCGGACATTAGGGCCGTTTCCACGGGCTGGAGCAGGGACGTGCGGTGAGGTTTATGATTGGGGAGTCAGAGTTACCATCATTATTCTAATAAAATAGCATTAAATCGTTAATGCAAAAACGTCCACAAACATTATACACTGTAAAGATAAGAACCAGCATATTATTAAAAATCCCACAACACATCTAGACGCTGGCTCTCTGCTCCGCATCAAACCAAGTCTTTGCGAAGCACAGGTGCGAGAGACGGGAGGAGGGAGGGAGGGAGAGATACGCAAGGAGCGAGAAAGAAAAGCCTAGTTTATACTCGCGCGGAGGTGACGTGACGTCACTTGCGCAACGCATTCGTCACCGCAAGGCCCTTACGTTGCCTGCCGCGCAGCATCGAAATTTTCTAACTACGTAAGGTTCGCCGCAAGGCAGCTCCACTGTGATTGGTCCATGTGTGTGTTTTGGAAGGAAGCACGGAGCGGCTGCAGCAGGGACATGGACGAGGCACTATGGAGCAGACAGCTTTGTGCTTTGAAGGAAAAGCAGTTTGGGTTCAGAGCCTGATATACAGGAGACTGTGGACTAGGGGTGCAACGGTTTGAAAAAATCACGGTTTGGTTCGTACCTCGGTTCAGAGGCCACGGTTCGGTTCATTTTTCGGTTCATTTTTCAAAAAAAAAGTTTTGTCTTTTTAATAAACACAGCTCATGTGGACTCGGCACCTGCTCTGACTGCCCCCCCTGACCTAGAAATTAATTAAGGGGAAGGAAATGGATGGATGGATGGAAGGCATATTCCATCCATCCAATTATGTCTATTTAACATAATTAATGAAAAACAACACAAAGTGCAACATAAGAAGGCACTTTATGAGGATATTTACCCTCATATATTACACCACCTTCCTGATTCTCCCGAGGAGGCAGTCCATTCTGGGCCCAGCCTCATTCACTGCATTTATTTAATTTTTGGCATTATCAGTTGTAACTGGGATATTAGTACTGGGCCTTTGTCTTCCATTCCTCCGCTGCTTGTGTCAGTACCTGCGCTGTGTGACTGTGTGACTGTCGTAGAGGGGGCGTGTCTGCAGCGCCAGACTTTTCATCTCCCAGTCTGCGGTGATGAAGTGAGCGGTTCCGCTCATGGATCTATTATAGGTTCCGCGGGAGGTCCAAGCGTCAGTCGTGAGCGCAGCTGAGGATGCGCGGGAGAGTTGACTTTAGCCCGGTCTGACTGTGCGTAAAGGAGCTGCTTAAATGCCGCGACAATAAGCGGTCGTTGAGACGCTTTTTTCACTCATGTCTTTCTTGGTCCACAGTGTTTACACATCGTGACAGTTTTGTCGAATTTTAATTATCAGTGTAGTTACAGTAAAGCCAAAATGCTCTCATACTGGGGATTTAAATGACGCAGGGCTTTCAAGCATCTCCGTTCCTCCGCTCGCAATGACCGCGCTGTGTGTGGACTGAACAACGTGCGCACAACTTTTTTTTCATAAATCAAACCGCGGATCACGTCTGTACCGAACCGAAGACGTTGAACCGAACGGATCACGGATCAGTGATGAACCGTTGCACCTCTACTGTGGACTATCTAACATATACAGTGCCTTGCAAAAGTATTCGGCCCCCTTGAACCTTTCAACATTTCGCCACATTTCAGGCTTCAAACATAAAGATATGAAATTTAAATGTTTTGTCATGAATCAACAACAAGTGGGACACAATCGTGAAGTGGAACAAAATTTATTGGATAATTTAAACTTTTTTAACAAATAAAAAACTGAAAAGTGGGGCGTGCAATATTATTCGGCCCCTTTACTTTCAGTGCAGCAAACTCACTCCAGAAGTTCAGTGAGGATCTTTGAATGATCCAATGTTGTCCTAAATGACTGATGATGATAAATAGAATGCACCTGTGTGTAATCAAGTCTCCGTATAAATGCACCTGCTCTTTGATAGTCTCAGGGTTCTGTTTAAAGCACAGATAGAACATTGAAGACAAAGGAACACACCAGGCAGGTCCGAGACACTGTTGTGGAGAAGTTTAAAGCCGGATTTGGATACAAAAAGATTTCCCAAGCTTTAAACATCTCAAGGAGCACTGTGCAAGCAATTATATTGAAATGGAAGGAGTATCAGACCACTGCAAATCTACCAAGACCTGTCCGTCCCTCCAAACTTTCATCTCAAACAAGGAGAAGACTGATCAGAGATGCAGCCAAGAGGCCCATGATCACTCTAGATGAACTGCAGATAACTACAGCTGAGGTGGAGAGTCTGTCCATAGGACAACAATCAGTCGTGCACTGCACAAATCTGGCCTCTATGGAAGAGTGGCAAGAAGAAAGCCATTTCTCAAAGATATCCATAAAAAGTCTTGTTTAAAGTTATTCACAAGCCACCTGGGAGACACACCAAACATGTGGAAGAAGGTGCTCTGGTCAGATGAAACCAAAATCGAACTTTTTGGCCACAATGCAAAACGATATGTTTGGCGTAAAAGCAACACCGCTCATCACCCTGAACACACCATCCCCACTGTCAAACATGGTGGTGGCAGCATCATGGTTTGGGCCTGCTTTTCTTCAGCAGGGACAGGGAAGATGGCTAAAATTGATGGGAAGATGGATGGAGCCAAATACAGGACCCTTCTGGAAGAAAACCTGTTGGAGTCTGCAAAAGACCTGAGACTGGGACGGAGATTTATCTTCCAACAGGACAATGATCCAAAACATAAAGCCAAATCTACAATGGAATGGTTCACAAATAGACGTATCCAGGTGTTAGAATGGCCAAGTCAAAGTCCAGACCTGAATCCAATCAAGAATCTGTGGAAAGAGCTGAAGACTGCTGTTCACAAACGCTCTCCATCCAACCTCACTGAGCTCAAGCTGTTTTGCAAGGAAGAATGACCAATAATTCCAGTCTCTTGATGTGCAAAACTGATAGAGACATACCCCAAGCGACTTGCAGCTGTAATTGCAGCAAAAGGTGGCGCTGCAAAATATTGGCGCAAGGGGGCCGAATAATATTGCATGCCCCACTTTTGAGTTTTTTATTTGTTAAAAACGTTTAAATTATCCAATAAATTTCGTTCCACTTCACGATTGTGTCCCACTTGTTAATGATTCTTGACAAAAAATTAAATTTTTATATCTTTATGTTTGAAGCCTGAAATGTGGGGCCGAATACTTTCGCAAGGCACCATATGTATACTATGCTGTTATTTATCTTTCCATTCAAACATTTGGCATAATTTTGTAGATGTTTCGAAATGTGATTAATTACGCTTGATAAATTTTTAAGCTGTAATTAACTCGATTAAAAATTTGAATCATTTGACAGCCCTAATTTTGAATTTAAAGGGAGAAAAAAAAGAAAATGCTGCAAAACAGGAGAATGACAGAGAAAATAAGGAAGATGATAATATTAAAGTAAAAAAAAAAAAAAAAAAAAACTTACTACGATAAAGCTAGAGACTACTTGGTTCTTTGTTAAGAGATTTTTGTATTGTTATTAATTGTAATATTGTCCTGTTTTTGGTTCTGCTGGTGTTTACACTTTTTGAGATGCTTTTGTTCTGAGCCTGACGTCAACTGTAAATGTACTATTGCGCATGAAGCATGAATAGAATTGTTCATCATCTGCTACTTTTCATAAGTACTGTAATCACCGTGGTCTCGATGAAACCAATTTCAAAGTAACTACTGATGCTGTATTGTCTAAATTCTCATTCATCTCTGCTTCAATAATTTTGCAGCAGCTAAAAGGACCGTCGTCTTTTGCTTCATTTTACTTCAGACCAACTTTTCAGTTTTTGTAAAATTATGGTTACAGTATTGTCAGTATCAAATGCTCATCAAGACAAAAAAAAGAATTACAGAAAGTCTTCAAACCATTATAATAAAGGTGAGACGCGTTTTCAGATAATGAGAGCGAGAGGTTTTATCCCGTCGTTATCCCGATCCTTTTGTGCGTCTGTAATGTGAATGTAATTTGTACCACGTGTTTTATTCTGCGTGCGTGTCTGTTATTTGGCGCAATTAAACACACAGTTTTTCTACGTTTTGTAACACTCTTTTTTCCGACCTAAAAGTTTATAGGCCAGCAGGGAAATCCTTCATTTCTGTTATTCATAAGAAAAGCACACAGTCTTTGTCAGGAAAAATAATAGCTCTGTTTAGTAGAGCCGTAATATCATTCTTTTGATACTTAGATCTCAAAAGAGGAGCTGAGACCAAAGGATCCAGGACCAGAGGACTCGGGACCAAAAGACCCAAGACCAGAGGACCCAGGACCAGAGGACCCAGGACCAGAGGACTCGAGACCAGAAGATCAGAGGACTCGAGACCAGAAGATCAGAGGACTCGAGACCAGAGGACTCGAGACCAGAGGACTCGAGACCAAAGGACCCAAGACCAGAAGACTCGAGACCAGAGGACGCGAGATTAGAGAACCCAAGTCCAGAGGACCCCAGACCAGAGAACTCGAGACTAGAGGACTCAGCCAGAGGACCTCGAGACCAGAAGACTCAGCCAGAGGACCTGATACCAGAGGACCTGAGACCAGAGGACCCGAGACCAATGGACTCGAGAACAGAGGACCTGAGACGATAAGACCCGAGATCAGAGGACCCGAGATCAGAGGACTCGAGATCAGAGGACTCGAGACCAGAGGACCAGAGACCAGAGGACCAAAGACGAGAAGACCCGACACCAGTGCACCCGAGACCGGAGGACCCGAGACCAGAAGGCCGAAGACCAGAGGACTTGAGACCAGACGAGCAGAGAAGCCAAAACTGAGAACAGAGGACACAAGACCAGGTGATCCAGGACCAGAAGAGCCAAAACCACAACACCAGGACAAACCCAAAGAACCCAGGATCAGAGGAGCCAGGACCAGAGGAACTAAGACCTGAGGAACTGAGAATTCATCCAAAAACTATTTCAATGTTCATTCTTGTTCAAGCCCTAATGTATAATAATATTTATGTCCACATTTGATCTAAGAGCCGAGACATGGATAACTCTGAAGGCCATGAAGAAGAATGGCTACAACATCATAAAAGGTGATTGGCTGAAGGCAGCACTTAAACACTACTTTACGCCGCGCACATTTTTGCATGTTTTAATATTTGTAATACCTCTCCTCGATATGACCTTTTATTCCTGTCGCTTTTCGGTCGCATTCCGCTTTCATTTCCCGGATGTTTCCCTCCGACTAAATACATTTTGCCCGCACTCATAAATCACAATAATCTTAGACGTTCTGCCTGAGAGCCAACTGATTTCCATCTTAAGGAGTACGGATGAGATGAGTGAAGTGCCGGGGTAAAATATCACGCTCAAAGTCGCTGTCTTAGCCACCAAATTAAGCAAATTAAACGAGAAAACAAAGCAATGAAAAGGCAATCACCAGCAGTGAGCCGCAACTATTAGGAAGAAATGAGTCGAACAAAAACGGATCTGCATTGCCTGTGACCTTACTAACATAGAATTCTCCATTTTCAAGGCAAACACACAGAGAACTTTTTCACCTTGGCCTGGTGCATGTCGTGACTTTCCATTTCTCTGTGTACACCGCCGCAAAGCTCAATGCACTATTCATTGCTCGATTAATTATTGAATGTTTTGTTGGGCCTTTGTTGCAGAAACAGAGAAGCAAGCAGGACAAGCACAGCTCTTTCAGCCACTTTCACTTGGATCATATACAAATGCACCAGCCTGCAGACAAGATGAATAATGACTCAGTTTTAATAGCTTCAACTATGGATGACCAAAAAGTAGTACACAAAACCTCTAATGTAGCCTGGTCGTACCACACCATAGAACACATTTCTTACTAAGGTCTGGGGTTAACTCCTTTTGCAGATTGAAACGATTGGATCTGAGTTTACCGTGACGTATGTAATGCGCCCGAGTCTGTTGTTAGCATTTAGTATTTAGCCTAGCCATCTCCTTTGCCGCTAACGGAGCCCGTGGGGAGTAGAGCCAGAATTTTTCCAGCGATTACATTTGCTAAACATTCCTCTAGCTCCGGCTTCATTTTCTTGATAGAACCAGACCGGATTACTTACTATCGCATTTTTAGCCATTGCCAAACTACAACCTTCCCATTCGACGCAAACTCTTGACGTCACCCACAACTAACTACAACACTCTCCTTCCGCGCTCTCTGAATGGTCGGTCGAAATTTAAGCAATTGTAATCGCTAACCCAGGGACCAGACCCAGACGTTATATGGAGTGAAATGATGATTGAGCGGAGTGTACGGGTGGCTAAGGCCAGGCTACAACTAATGTACTTGGTCAATAAAGTTATATATCATGTTATTTCAACCACTGAAACCGTCTTCACATGGTACGGTATGGTGTGATTTTTTATTTTTACAGGGACAGTGTACATTAAAAGTTTGTAGCAGCAGTGCTAAATTAAACTGTATCACATCCATGACAAGAAAGAAATTAATTGTAGCGTGTGATGTTTTTATTTATCTGCAAAATGTTTGTGCATTGTCCCCACTCTATTTATCCTCGTAAGGCAATTCAACCTCTGCATTTGACTCATCCTGATGCTTTGTCAGGAAAACATGCAAACTCCACTCAGAAAGACCCTGGACCGACTCAGATTTGAACTCGGGACCTTCTTTCTGAGAAGCGAGAGTGCTATCCACTTAGCCACCGTGCATGTTTAAGGTAAGGTCAGAGAACCTTTTCTTGTCCCACAGTAAGGAAATACAGTATCAATGTTGCAGCCATGGATGTACAGTATTATAATATCTGGATAGGGTATCACCAGCTTGAAGCTGAAGGACCCATGTGCTCGGGGGTATCTTGCGGTACTGCAGATTAAACCAGATCAAATTCATTTGGACTACCCTGAAATGTTCCCCGTAGAACTCAATGTAAACTAAAACAGCTTGACCTCAGCTGACAGAGAACCTACAGTTTTCACAAAGGTCTGATTTTGTGGGGATTTTACTGTCCCTTGACGTCCTGAACTTTTTTCTTCTTAAATCTTTTGGTTTTCTATAAATCCACACACTAGTACCACAAACTCTGCTCGTTTTGCTCAGCAGCACCTGATTGGTCAGGACACACCACGCCCCTCTGTGCACGTGCATGAGAACCACACCACCCAAAGCATCATGGGATCTCATCTACTGCACAGAACCGGGAGGACCGGAGAAATTACCAAATATGGGTGAATCTTTCTGTGCCTATTGGGGGCCAATGCGCTACTGAGAACATGCAATTGATTAAAATAGGACTTGGATCACCGGGGCTTGGATCCAGCGCACATACAGGACAGTAAGAGCACACAGGGAGCACACAAAATATACAATAAAAGTTGCTTCAATGCTTCTTAGCTAGCTGTAAATGCTTCAACATTAATATATCTCTATCTATCTATATTAGTGTGAAGTTATATTAAATATAGGGCAGGATAATGAATAGATAAAGGGACATTCACATTCACAATAGAATTTCAATTTGGAGAGACGTGAAACAAGAAGCTTTGAGTATTTTATTGGGAGGAGGTTTGGCGCCCTAGGCCCCGGTGCGGCCTTCGGATCGGAGGGCCTCCATGCGAAGGAGCGAGCCAATCCCCCGGGACCTAGGCACTGGTGGCGGCATTTGCAGCGGGAAGCAGATTGAAGGCAGAATGAAGGCAGGGTGAAGAGGAGGAGGAGGGGAGGCGGTGGTTGCAGGCTTCGAGAAGGCCGAGAATGGGAGTTCCTCCGCTTTTAAGCAGCTTGCCTGGCTGGACCGGTGATTGGAAGGGGGCGTTTGCCGTGCGATAGGCTGGGGATGAGAACCGGCCTGGAGGGGTTACCTTTGGCTGACGTCTACCAAATTGAACTTTCGCTGGCTGCATTTCAATTTGGAGAGACGTGAAACAAGAAGCTTTGAGTATTTTATAGGGAGGAGGTTTGGCGCCCTAGGCCCCGGTGCGGCCTTCGGATCGGAGGGCCTCCATGCGAAGGAGCGAGCCAATCCCCAAAAAGGTTGTGAGTTGATGGAGTTTTGCAGCCTGGTTTGGAGGGGACAGACGTCGAGACTACTCTATGCTGTGACCGCCATCGCTATATACTGTGACCGCCATCGCTATATACTGTGACCGCTATCGCTATATACTGTGACCGCTATCGCTATATACTGTGACCGCTATTGCTATATACTGTGACCGCTATCGCTATATACTGTGACCGCTATCGCTATATGCTGACGAGTCGCGACCATCGCGCGCTAACCATTTTTTGCTATATACTGTGACCGCTAACCATTTTTTGCTATATACTGTGACCGCTAACCATTTTTTGCTATATACTGTGACCGCTATCGCTATATACTGTGACCGCTAACCATTTTTTGCTATATACTGTGACCGCTATCACTATATGCTGTGACCGCTATCTATTGTGACCAAACTTGCGGATCCTCAGCTGCTGCCGCCACCAGGAAGTTTAGCGAGCATTTTAAGAAGATGCCAAAAGCCGCTGGGCTGCCAGAATGGAAGAGGTGTCAGGCCTGATGTATGAGGAGAGGGCCGATGATGACCAGCGGCCCAGCTGCTGGAGGGCGGAATAGGGGAGCCCAAGGGACGCGGCGCGCGTGGCGGCGCCTATCCGAAAGGAGTGGGCTGTGTAGAGATGGGGAGACATGTTACAAAGCAGCAGTACGGACCTGAGTTGGGCTCTGAACCAGTTGGAGGACATAGGGAGGTTATCGGGGGTAAGAAATAACGGTCCGTTGAGATCTCCTTTCCGAGAGCGGAGGCGAGTGTAATGCATCATGGATCGTGACAGCAGAGGGCGGAATGAGTGGAATGCAGTGGGTAGTAAGTAAGTAATCTTTATTTATAACCGCCTTTTCACTACAGATCTGAGTCTCAAAGCGGTTTACAATTGTTAATTTTTGGGCATTTGTCTCTCACTCCACACAGAGATGGGAGCGGGGTCGCCAGTAGGGGGCGCATGCTAGAACTATTGGACATATTTTTAGTGGTAGGGGAAACCGGAGTACCCGGAGGAAACCTACGCAGACACGGGGAGAACATGCAAACTCCACTCAGAAAGGCCCTGGTCCGACCGGGATTCGAACCCAGGACCTTCTTGCTGAGAGACCCATCTTCGTGTAGGATGCAGCGGAGGAGATGAGGAGGTGAAGAGACGGAGGGACTAGTCCAGGGCGAGGGATTCCATGCAGGGGATCTGGCATGGTGATGGGTTGGCAGAAGGGCAGAGGCGTCGGAACTCCTGGAAGTCGAGATTATCACGCATGACGGAGATCCTCTTTCTCTGCCAGGTGTGATTCCACAGCGCGCAGCCACGACCACTGGGAATATCTCGTGTAGGGCAGAGGAGATGCTCCGGTGGAAGTAGCGGCCACGGCCCGGCAACCCAATGGTCCTGGAAAAAAACCCCAAAACCCACGGAAGGGGCACGTCCGTGTAGAAGCAGAGACCTGTAGGGGCAGAGACATATCGGAGAGGGCCATGAAGTCGCAGGCGCCCTTACGCTTAGAATCTTGGGTTGGAGAGTAGATAATCAGGATGGTAGGATGGTCGGGAAAAGCCGTGTCTCGGACCGCCTGAAGGGTGATTGAGCAGTAGTGAAACGCTTATGCAGAGAAGCCATAGAAGGCGAGCAGGAAGATGCTGCGAGGAGGGCAGACGTGTACTTGGAAGAAGAGCCGGAGTTCAGTGCCGCTCAGAGCCGCTGCAGGATGGGCAGCATGATGGGGAGCCTGCGATCAGAAGAGCGAAGAATACAGGTATGGATGCCTTTGATTAGGAGTCCGATTGACGGCTCAGCGCAGCTACTTGGCCAGCTGCATCTGATAGAATCAGAAGATTAAGTAGAGAGATGAAGCATGACCGCCGAAGCGACCCTGGGAGCATAGGTGCGAGTCCAGCG